AAAGGTAAAAAAGAAAAAGAAGATGAGCCTTTGGTTATGTTCGAAGAATATCATGATTTTTTTTAATACAAGTGATAATCTACTTTAAATTAATCTAAACTATGAAGAGGGTAATTTGAACTCGAATGCTGAGTGGAGAGCTCACATGCTCTGGCCAACTCGGTTATGTTCGAAGAATATCATGATAAGCAAACATAGTTGGAACCTTTTTAATTATTTTACGAAAGGAGATTCAAACATATAATTTGGATGCATAGATAAATGTTCTTAATTGAATGCGCTACAATGCCCTTACTACAGTGTGATAATTAATCATACAACATAATACAAATAGATGATAGTGGGCTACATGTTGAGTTGTGGATATTCCATTTTCCCTTCAGTATTTCCAAGCATTTGAAGCTGCCAAACAAGAAACAGAGCATTAGAAATTTAAAATCAAACCTAATTTTGAAACGAAACGAAATACTAATTGAGTGTGGGCTGGAGATTTACCTTGGCTTGATATAGTCCAGTCTTTATCTTGACCCAGAGCCCAAAAGAAGTATCCACCCAAGCCTAGCGACTTCGCAAACCGGACCTTTAAGTTCACGGATCGGACATCGTCATACCCGATCCAAGAGCTACCCGAATAAGAATAATACGCCACCGCTTTGCTATCAAATACAACCGTTGCATTAGTTCTCTTGTTAAAATTCACTATTTGGTGAAAAACCAAAACGCCATCCCCAGGCCCAACACCCAAAGCAGGCACTCCAACCCGATTCACGGTCGGGTTCTGGAGGGTCCAAGTCCTCCCGTATAGTGGCAACCCCATGACGAGCTTATTGGGCGGTACTCCGGCTTGAATCCATGACCCGATTCCATAACTGGTACTAATATTACTCTTGGAATCATACAACGCGGCATGCAGCCCGGTGAAATTTTCCCATGACCCGTGATAATCAAAGCACATCGGGCTGGCCCAATCCAGATATTTACTTATTGCCCAGGCTGGATACGCTCTCGGGCCGCCGTAAACGGTAAATTTCGACGCATAATATACCGCGGAGGTTAAAAGTAAACGCGGTTTACCGCTAATTTTAGCTTCATTGTCCAGAGCATTCCTCCATTCCTTGTACAGCAAGGCAAGATTTGACATGTCCACAGCATCAGCTGGGAATTCCCAGTCCAAGTCGAGACCTTGGAACCCAAATTTTCGAGCCACTTCAATGGAGGAACTGATGAAGGCTTTCCGGGTCAGCTGGGTGCTAGCCATGAGTGAAAATACTGTTGCATTGTTACCTCCGCCGCCGATGGAGAGAAGGGTTTTGACGGGCGGGTTTCGGGTACGGAGAGCTCCGATGAATTGGGGTATTGTTTTTTGGTCGGATTGGGTGATGTTGAGTTTGTAAGTGGTGGGTTCGGGTAAGAGGAAGGCATAGTAGATGTGGGTGAAGTAGGAGGTGTCTATAGAGGAAGCTGGGAATGTGTTAAACGATGGCCAATATGCTGCTCTGATCCCTTTGTGAGGTGGATGAACAGAAGGAAACTGGTTTGCTTCACAATTTTGAAGTAGAGTTGTGAGGAAGATTACAAAGATGAGAAAAGGCATGAACTTTGGGGTACCCATTATTGCTGCTCTGATTTTTGTCAGGGTTTGATTGCGTTTGTTTTATAGAGCAGGCAAGTGCATAGGCTATGGTTTGAATAGACCAAGTTGTCACAATTGGTTTTGTGCTGTTTGAAGTTTGTGGTGGAAGTTTCCTGCTGGAGATATTTTAATTTTCAAACTAGATTAGCATGTAGGGGTCAAGGAGGAGGAGGAACTTATCAAACACATGCAGCCAACCTAGAAGCAAACGGAGCAAGAAAACTTATTTCTGTTTGGAATGGAATAGTAAATAGAAAGAAAAAAAAAACAACAGGGTAAGTTAAATTTGGTTGCGGTGGTCTCAAATATAAATACAAGTCTGCAGACCAGTTGCTTCTGTCACTTTCTGTCCTAGTTTGAGTCTAAGTTTTTTTTTTTTTTTTTTTTTCCCAGGCCATTGATTTACAGGGTTTGGGTAAAACGTATGAAAAAATCGAATAGAAAAGTTGGACTTGGCTTTCAATCAAATTCAGATAATTCTTTCAAGCATCATGTTCTTAATAAGGTTTGAATGATGGGGTAGCCACTAAGTTTGCTCTTATTTTGAAGCATACAGTCATGAATCATATGATCACATGCACTGATCTGATATCTGGTTGAACTCCTTGTAAGACCACAAATCCAGTTGGCAATTGACAATTGAACAAGTGAAGTAGGAGTAGCATTATATGGTATCTAGAAAGAAATACAAGAGACTGGTGTTAGATAAACAGACTTAGTGGTGATTGGTGAATAAAGCAAGCCACTGACTTTGGATGCACACACTTGATGACTTTTTAATGTTTATCTAGATGTTTGTTTTATGGTTCGGTGTATTTTGATTGGTCCAATCCAAATTCCAATCAAATCAGCAAAACTAGCCAAAGTTGAATGCTTCAGCTTCAAAGTGGGTAACCTTCACTTCATATATTAAATACAAGGATGTTGCACATTTGTCAATCAAAATGTCAAATTGTTGCTGGCAAAGAAAGTCAAAAGCAGTTTGAGTCGGCAGACCCCTTAATTAGGATGTGAATGAGCCCAAATCAAGGGCGGGCCTAGTGGCTTGGCCGACCCACTAACAAGCCTGAGCTGGACTGAAGTTCACTAGAGTCCACTCCTGGTCTTTTGGTACAAACAAGGGGTTTTGGAGCGTGCGTGGAAGTATCTGTATTTGGCGGAAAGGCTATAATGAGGGCTTAAAGTGAGGAGGTTATTTGAGGAGGTCAAATCTCACCATGAACAAATGTAAAGAAATCATGGGACTTAAATATTTTAAATGTTTTGACGGTCGGATGGGTCTCCTCAAATAATCTCCTCACTTTAACTCCTTATTGTAGAAGCTCTCTGTATTTGGACCACGAGTGAGTGGTTTCAAACTTAGGGTTGGTGATATGGAAAGTATATTTGTACGTGGAGGAGGAGAGACGAGGATGACGAGGATGATGATGATGGATATGGAATGGAATAATGGAACTTTCCTGTGTTTCTTCTTTTAGAGTTTTGAAGTGAGAAGTTGGCTTAAAGAGACAGAGAGATCTTGAAAAGAGATTTTGGTCCCATTTGATATGACTATGAATGTTACATGGAGAATCATATGGGGGTGTCTGTTTCGCTTAGGTTAAGCCAATGAGGGTAAAATGCCAAACTCCACTCACTACTCAGTCAGTTGTGAGTCACTCGATGCCCATTTTATTCTACCAAACTTTTATGTGGGGTTATGATTGGGCCAAAGAAGAGAAAGTTGCCTAAAATGACTTTATGCCCGTGCAATAATTATCAATATTATAACTCAGATTATACTTATCTTTCGGGCTTAACTTTGCAGATTTATTTCTGTTTAAATATTAATAATGCAGCATGTAACTGCACTATCATTGCATATTAGCATGAGCAACTCCACGTCACCTTCACCCTTTTTTATTTGTCGGCCATTTGTCGCCTTCTCTACCATTGACAAATCATCTCTCCTTTTTTTCTTCCTTTTTTTTTTTTTTTTTTTTTTCTCCTTTTGAAAAAATATGAGAATATTTGGCTTTATGCCAGCGACCCGAATTGGCTTTACTTGTCTGTCAACTTAGTTTATGTCTGTACTTTGCGTGCTAATACTATATTACTGTAGTAACATGGACTCTAATGAGAAGTTTAAGATTATATTTTATATCTAGACCCTAGACAATTGACAACAGCTAGCTAGAATACGATAAAATTTAGGAGGAGAACAAATAAAACATGCACTTATTGGCAATGATAGTTAATATTATATATATATATATTTGATATGGCTATTAGGTTATGAAAATGACAATTATAAACCTAGTAATTATCTGAGGGGGACGGGGCACTCTATTGGAGATAAGGTTCATGATCCCGCTTTCAGTTGAGCAGATAAGGCTACTCAGTTAGACCGACGACTGAGCCAATTGATATAAAGACACTCGCCTAATCCCCGGTTACTCTCCTCTTCCTCCATAAAATGCTATTGCTTTTCTCTATTTTTTTTTTATTTTTTTTTAAAGAAGCCCAGTAATTTTAACATTTACTCCACCTAACATGTGTTGAGCCTGTGATCTAGTTCTCCAGTCTAGTTTTTCAAAGGGAAGATATGATTATAACCCAAAAAGGGCATTGAGAAGGACCCTCATTTTCATGACCCCAACTCAAAGTAATTGATTAATTTCATTCTCAATAGAGATGGAGAAAATAAGTCAATGAAATTATAGGAAGCTGTCAATAATGGTCTGTCCACAACACATGAGAGTGAGATGATTATGGAACATCCAAGCAAAGTGACGCCCCCACAGAATGCGGTAAGGGGCACACTCAATGTACTGAGGCATACTGCATGCCCTGGCTAGGGCGACACTTCCGGGATCATCCGTCGCTTCAAGTCCGTCTATTTTTTAAAAAAATAAAGCTCAAAATCTTTCTAAGGAACTTATTTTCTCAATGTCGGAATAAGTCACAAGTTCGAATGTCTCATCTTTGATTGATTTTATAAAATAAAAGAATTCAATATGCGACAACAATGGCAGATGTGCATCTGCTGTTGAGTTTGATGCACATTATTGAGCATGTTACAGTAAACAAACACAATCTTGGATATGATATCAAAGGAAAACGATACTTTCCTGTTAAAAATAAGTTTTTCGTTTTTGTTGTTGTTGTTGTGTCGATTTATAAATGTATAATATATACGTGCAAATGGATAGAACGGTGAAAAAGTTCCATTGATCCAATCAAATTGCATGACAATAAGTGAACCTACCAAAATACTTTAAAGATCTAATTTGATGAAGGGATCTAATATTTTAAAAGCTAGTAGAACAGTGCATTCTTCCATTATCCATATATACTACAAAGCAATTTACTTTTCCCCCATCAATAAACTTTTTATCCCTGTTGCTTAGCTAGCTTTTCTATCAACTCAAATTTCATAATCCCAGTTGATAACTCAGAAGAAGAAAGAAAAAAAGAGCTCCAAGATTTGTGCGATGGAACCAACCAGGAATTATGAAACATATATCATCTCTGCTCCAGAGGCTCCTCCATGTCCAAACACACCACTTCAGGACCCCAAAGAGAGCAAACAGAAACTAGTTGAGGAAGATGAAGAGGAAGCTAATAAAGATCAAGAAAAAGAGATGAAGCCCAATATTTTAGTAGATCTTGAGGATTCAAATGGTGGGTTCAATCCAGAACTCAACCTCATTGATTGCCTGGACATCGGTTCATCAGAAGGTACAGCTGCCCCTAGGTCTGATGCGGCAGAGCCTAGAGTTTTCTCATGCAACTACTGTCAAAGAAAATTCTACAGCTCACAGGCACTCGGAGGGCACCAAAATGCCCACAAAAGAGAGAGGACCCTAGCAAAGAGAGGACAGAGGATGTTAGGGACACATGTAATGGCCTCAGCAGCTGCAGGTTTTGGGTACCCTTACTTGCATCATCACCATCACCACCATATTTCAAGCTTGGCTTCTCTGCCTCTCCATGGCGCTGCTTATAATCACAAAACTTTGGACATTCAGGCGCACTCAATGATTCACAAGCCTAATTCTCACATGTCATCTTCTTCTATTGGGTTCGGAAGTTCGTATGGAAATCGTGGCTACAGGTCAAGACCGCTCATTGATCAACAACCAGCAATTGGGAAGCTAGCCGCAGCAGCGGCAGAGAATTTCCAAACGACGTCAGGTAGAGGCGGTGCTGGTAGATTTGACATGGGAAAGAACAAGATGGGTTCCCAAGCCAATGACGAAATTGGTAAATTCTGGTTGGCAAACGGCAGTCGTTTCAATAGTGATCAGGAGGAAATGAAGAAGCTTGACTTGTCCCTCAAGCTCTAGGTAGTTTAGCATAGGCTCTGCACAATTCTTATTCAATGTAACATATATGATCCTCTGTTTTTGTTTTCTTTTTTTTCTGTTAGTATTGAGATGTTGTTTAAATTTTCTTGTTCAAATTTCGAATATGGTTCATGGTTGTATAAATTTTTTTTTTCAGAACGGCAACGACCTTTTTCTTTTTGGTTTGCTTTGAACTTGTCCATAGCGATCTGGGTTAGAATTTTTCTTCTTTTTTCAACCTGTTTAATCCTCATTTTGGTTAAAACTAAAACAGAAAGAACCCTCTTGTTATTTTTCTTCAATTATAGAAATTTATTTTAGAAAACAGATAAGTTTTGAAGGTGGAGCCATGTTCAGGAGTTTTTATGTACTCCCTTCAAATCAATTGGTGTTATCTGGCAGTGGCAATCAACAATCAGAAGCAGAACAGAGCCCCCCTGTTTTGGCCCAACAAAATTTCAAAAATGTCATGCTTTGCACTCGAAAGGACATGTGACGCTTGTGAGTATTGTTCCAAATAATTTAGGATTATCCGTCTACTTCGATCCAAACAAAACAAACAATCAAATACAATGAGACAAATTTGATTCTATAATCTTTGCCGATTTACAATAAACAGATCATAAACACATAATTTGTCAGAACTTACCGATTTTTATATATTTAAAAATGAAAAGAAGGGTCTAATAGCTCAAATGATATAGGAGGATTACCTTTATGCCTAATGTGTGTTCAAATGCCGCGCCCCTCCAATATCAAATGTATAAAAATAAAGAAAATAGACAATGAATTTTTATTCTAAACTTGAGACAAAGCTGCCACTGACGAAGGGGATTAGATAGATGAACGTGGAAAGTTGTCAACTTGATAATACAAGAAACCCAAAATAAACGAGTCATACTTGTGAATATAAGATTGATGATGTTTTTTTGTCCTTGTATGCATCATATAAAATGACTTGCTTTTTCATTTTTTTATGTTAAAAAAATTGGTGGTATCTTTGTCCTCTTTTGAGGAGCGTGTACCGAGTCACTTTCGTTAACTGATCTGAAAATCTAGGAAAGATTTAGTTCAAGTTTAAACATTTTGTATAATAATGTAATAATAGTTTATGTGCCACATTTTACATAACTTTCCCATCAGAAACTCAAATTTCTTCGAGGTTGGCGTAAGTCACTCAACCTGCCACCCCAATAAACAAGGTTTTCGCATACTTGCCCCGCGCACATGTCAGATTCCCACATCTTCACATATGCATGCACATTTTGAAAGTAAATCTTATGATTGTCTGTGGGTTGATCAAATATTTAACCATGCTGAAAACGCCGACAATTTGTTGTTTGCTGGCTTTTTAAAAAAAAAAATTCAAACCAACCACCCTAGTTCCCCAAAAAATGATCCACAGACACCTTCAAACAATCATGTTTCAAACAAGGGCGATGGAGGACTAATGGCGATGAGTAATAAAAATATGTTTTGAGGTTTCAACAATAATACTAGAGGCACCAACTCTTTTTTCATCAATTTTATTCGTCAAGAGATTTTGAGTTTCTATTGAAGTAAGACTTTCAGGATGCATAGCTGATAGCCCTTGTCTGTGTCAAACTTCATTTTCAGCTTAGCTAAAAGGCTAAAAGAAATCAGCAAACAAAGACATGAACACCGCATAAATCTGCATACCATCACAAATCCTAATTTCCCATCACTTTGCTTGGAGTAATTCATACAATCAGAAGCATCTCAAAGCTATAAGACAGACAGAGTTGCTGACCTGAATAAATATTACATTGTAACCCTATGATTTTGAAGGCATGCTCGCGTATAATATAAAGCATATAACTTAGGCAGAACCTTCTTTCCAATTCAATGACAAATTTTTTCAGGGAAGAAGAACAAATGAATCACCACAAATCTAAATCGAGGGAAGAGGTACTAGACATGTACCGTTCTATTTTTCCAGAAACAACTTGACCTTTCCCAACCATTTGATAAGTTCTATTCTGTCCTTGTTCGCCATATATTGATGCAGGAAAACAGAAAGCTCATCATTCACTCCCCTTGCTTCCAAATACTCAATAAACCTCTTTTGAATCGTTCTCTTCAAACTCCTGCCCAAAAACACAGAAGAAGCAACAAGTCACCTCCAAACACCCAACACTGCAAACTCATACAACCAACAAACATTCATTCTTTGTGCATCATATACTTGCTGGCAGAAATTAAGCAATGTACCTGAAATCAGGTCCCATATATGGCTTAGCCGGCATTCTATAACGATCAAGAACATAAACTTTCTGAACCTCTAGACGGTCCGGCCAGGCCGAGCACAGAAACTCCAAATCATTGGAGACATCCCCCTTGGAAATATCAACAATCATACTGAGGTGAAGACGCACGTCTTCCCCAGAACTGTCATCTCCAGTCTTGGGAACCATTTCATACCCATCAAACATAGTAACTTCAATTTTAATATCCTCAGTGTCTCCAAATTTTCCTCTCATTGTCATCCACAGCTCACCTGGCCGATCTTGCACCGTAAACGAATTGAATTTTGTAGGAGGCTGTTGTCAATTGTTATAATTTCCATCACAAAATATGAAAATGGATTACAATCGACACTTCAAACTGTCCAGTATGAATACACTTAAATGGGAATCGAGAAATCACAAAGACCTACCCAATCAAGTTGATAAAAATGGTTGCTTTCTCAGTTTATGTTCGTGCATTTTATTACAAACCAAACAAAGGAGGAGGATGACCGACCTGTTCAGGAGGAGCATACTCGGACTGGTACTCCTCCTCGTTTCTGAGGATTCTAAGGATGTTAGCTTCCATGGGCGACTTGGGAAGCGTCTCAGAAGCGTAAGGTCTGTTTTGGAAGAGAGAGGTTGAGATTGCTTTCTGCACTTGCAGCGGAGGATTTGGGTGGCGTTGAATGCCATTGACTAGGGTTTTGCATGAACAAGAAGAAGACAATCGCAGCGCACTTTGAGCAGTTCGAATTAATCGAGCCATTTCGTGTTGAGAATCAAAATTTTCTTTTTAGGGTTTAAGGATTGGGGTTTTAGGTAAACAGTGGAACTGAAATGGGGAAGAAGATGGATATCTAATCTGGGCTTTGACGTGCATCGTAAACAATATCATAATGGGCCTCAAACTCGGCCCAACTAAAAGAATGCAATTTTTTGTGCTTTAGCTACAAACCACAAAGAATGTACTTTTGGGCCCTGATGAAGAGAAATGAGATGGAAAAAAAGCGAAAATAAATAAGAAGAAGTCTTGACACATTCGTAAACGCTTTTAACTATTTGAATTACAAACCTCGTAGCGACAGCGAGCTTGAAACATGCACTTTTGTTGTTTATAGGCATCATTATTTGAAAGTTGAAATGCATGTGGTATGAATGATTATGGAGGTGTGACGCTTCTTAATTACTTGTCCCTAGCGAGGGGTTCTATAGTTCATAGAGCTCATGGCGGTCTTATCTTCTGCTCCAGTTCGTTGGTTTCTTAACCACCCAACATGATGCCTGAAAACTTGAAGAATACTGAAAGTGATGGCAACAAAATTCTATGGCCATTGGTAGTCCTAATATACTCCTCCGCTTCACCATCAGTTTATCCATGTGCTTCCCTTCCCATTTAAACAGAGCATTCAAAGGAGGGAAAAATGTTTTATTATTATTTCAAATAATATTGATATATTTGATTGAATTGAAACCCCATAAAATGGGTCCTTATAGCCGACATGGGTTTGGTGCAATAATTTCTTGAGGCCATCCCTTGAATGATATAAGACATGAAAATGCACAAGCAGCAACAGTATTTGCCACGCTGCATCATAATGAAAATGAAAAATTGCATTACTTTGATGATGGCGATGAGATGATGACGCGGATATATAATGAGCCTCCCCGTCTGGACACATGGGTGCAGTGCGGGTGCAAAAAGGTTATCCTATATGTCGTTGTGTTATTGATCGAGATAATAAACAATGTTATTCTCACTGTATGAAAGTGTTTTTCGGTGTAAATGGGCATGATGCAAACAAAGGACAAAAATATAAAGTTTTACGGGGTGTTATCATTACTGCGTTTTGTTTTAGCATTATGAATCCACCATTAATTTAATTAGAATGCTAAGGAAGGACAAAAAACAAGGTGGATATTATGTCCTTGGTTCGTTTTTGTACAAAGTCAGAAAATGGAAACCAATTAGGAATCGTATGTCACAAAGTTTATGACCATTAAAATTTGACCAAACTCTTCATATTTTATGGATATTATGTCCTTGGTTCGTTTTCGTCCAAAAAAATAATAAGAAAATAAAATTGCGGACATCCTTTATTTTATATATATAATTTTTTTTTTTGGGTCAAGTTTTATTTATTTATTTATATAATTGATTATGGTCATTCTTGACTGCCAAAATGAATGGATATCAAATTAATAAACAATGAGGTCACAGCCAAGTAGTAGATGTGACATCCATCTTTCTTGTTTTATGATGTTAAGGATGTGATCAAGGACCATAGAAAAATACGTGACCATCCGAAAAACTGAAGTAACGAAAAATCTTATCTCTTAAATTATAACAATATTTTTTATACCAATATGAATTATTTTTAAAAATTCTTATTGAAAATTATTAAATTAATTTAATGGTTTATAATTTTTTTAAATGCGTGTAAATGCATTGATTTTAAATACAGAAGTTTAAGATTCCCAATACAAAAATGCTCAAAAGTTAAGATTTATATAATTGTTTATTAGTAAAGTGCCAACTAGTAAAAGAGTATCGTAATTGGTATGAAATCCTTTTTTTTTTGGGCACAATTGGTAATAATTATATTATTTAAATTCACACTTTATATAATCATTATTTTTGATAATGTGATATTCTAAATTATTTTAACTTATGGGGAGGTAAATTCAAATTTGGTGCAAATAGTACGAATACATTGCCATTTCTAGCTGTGGTAATAAAATATTTGCAAGTTTTGTAAGATTTTCATTACAAAAATTATATGGAATTGCAGATAAATCCTATTAATAACACGTCAGCACGACAATTGCTATAAATTAGAAAGAGTTGTATGGTTAAAAACAAACAAATAGAAAATTAGATTTTCATTAAAGAAATCCAAAATAACTTAAACTAAAAAAAAACAAAATTTTAATCTCTTTGGTAAGCAATGAGTTTCTCCGGTTTATGCAAGTTGGAATATTTCTATTCGAGTTTTGTATGATATCAAAACTTAAGAAGCTGTTATGATTGATTAAACAAATATTAATCTAATTAAAATATCGTGAGTGAAATCACTGCTGTCTCCATTGTACGTGACAATGGCTTGTGCTCCTGGATATATAAGCCCATCATGCGACTAACGATGGAACCCAAGTTCACAACCTCATAGATTCTTCTTCACTCTTCCAACCAAAAAAATTAAAATAAAATCACATTTCCCAATTTGTCCCTAAATTCCTCCGCTTTTCCCCAGTAAATTCCCCAATTTCCTTCCCACTTTTGTGGCATTAAGCAAGGTCATGTAATAATTATATTATATGCAAACAGGGTTAGGCAAGTTGGTAAAGGTATTAAGCAAGTTTGAATTTCCTCTACGTACATATCGCTTGTATGCATCTCCTAGTATCCAAGTTTGAATCCCCTACACGTAGATATCGCTTGTTTGGAGGGAGTTTGAATTTAGGTGCAAAGGAGCGGGCACACTTTCTTAACCAGCTAGCCCTTAACCCACATTTGCATAATATTTAAACCTGATTAATAATATATTAACCCTAATACAATTTCCAACCATTTGATACCAAAAAGTGGGTTTGCAAAAGCAGAGACTTAACTCACACGTTAGGTTGGAAAAGAAGGAAAGGCACGACGTGGACGAAATGGACTCAACCTTTTCCTTTTTCTTCAACCAATCACTCTGCTCTACCATTTTAATCTTAAAAACTTAAAAAACAAATGACCAAATTTTGCAGCAGCTGGAGATTTCTGTTGCAGAAGATCTAGAAGCCTATCGTTTGCATACGTCGGTTTTTTACCTGGTTTGTAGTTGTGTTTTTTGGGTTTGGGTCTTCTTGATCTTGGTCTTGGTTTTGGAGCTGGAATGGCATTTTCCGTAATTAGTTAAACTTGGAGGGGTGTTTTATCTGATTAGCAATTCACTACCAAAACAAACAGCGTCTCCCACTTTAGTTATAAAAGCGAGTACACGGCCATGACACTTTCGGCCGCCGGAACTACCTAAGATTCGTCTTCCAAGAAAAGGATTAAAATTTTCTGGAAAGGAATTCTAC